ATTAAACATATATATAAAATAATAAAAATCTATTTAGTTTATTTATACAAATAAAAAACACAAAAAAAGTCTATTATAATAATAAATCGAAAATTGTTGATACTAATTCTGTTTAATATATAAAAAAAAATTGATATTGAATATGTTGTTAAGAATATGATTATTCTAACGAAATATCATCCAATCAAAACTACCTTGAAACGAATCTCTCTTTCTCTTAACATATTCTTCATTAAGTTTATAAATAACTTGATCATATTTCTCTTCGATATTTATGATAACGTCACAAAAATATAGTTTCTGCGTAAAAGTGTATTGACATCGTTTAATATCTATAATGTATATCGGAAAATGATAGATTGAAATTATATATGCCGATCCGTTCTGATATCCAATATGAATCAAAAGCAATAGATTTGTTTATTTACATATTTTTATTATTTCTTATAATAAAAAGCAATGAGATGATAATGAATTATTTAAAAGATAGTTAACAGTTAAATAAAATAAATATATAAATATTATCCCATCAAAAAAAATAATAATAATAATAACAAATTAAAAAAAGAATAGAAAATGAATAAAAGTTTTCATTTAAAATGTTTTTTTTTTTTTATAATCGTTGAATAGATTCATCGAGTGATGTTGATTGAGTTCGATCATTTTTTAAATCGGATAAAGGTAAAGTTGCTGATTGAGTTGAATATCGAGCCATTGCTTCCATTGATTGTTTAGGTATATTTTCATGAACAAGTTCAATTGTATTTGCATCTTGTTTAGGCGGTTCGTGAAGTTGTATGTTATTTGGTAAAAGATTTTTAATTAAAGAACCTAATGCTGAATCTTCAGCAACAAAATCTTGTGGAACATGCCAATTAAGACTATCATCAAAATAAGAATCATTATCTGGTGAAGCAAAGATAGGTAAACGAAGAACAATTCCAGTTACTAGTCCTCCAACAGTAGCCATTGCTAATGTTAATAAAAGTCCAGCACATTGATAACCAGCTTGAGCTCCAGGTGTTCTATGTTCACCTCCTGACAAACATTTATCTGTTAAATTTTCATGATAATATGATCTCCAAGGCATACTAGCAACAACAATTCCAGCTAAACCAGATAAAACTCCAGGCATTCCATGTAAATTATGAACACCACATGTATCATGAATACGAACTTTTTTTAATAATTCAAGTATATATTTATAACCTAATGTTGAAATAGTTCCAGCAACACTTCCAATAA